ACATATGCTGTGCAGATGTTTCTTTCCTGCAGCGACTGTCAAGCAGCAAGGATGGACCGGCTTCCGGCACACAAGAGAACGGGAGACCTACAGGTTCAAAGTAGCAGGTCGGGGCAGGGCGTTCCTAGAAATAGGAACCCAGCGACCGGCCAAAAGAAACTCTAAGCTTAAACAGGTAACAAGGGACGAAGAAGGATGTTATATATTGATCGAGAGTCAATGCAACAGGAAAATATGACCATTTAATCATATTATTTATCATTTAAATGATAACAAGATAGCCCCCACATCCATTAAGAAGACGGCAGCAGAATCACTGTGAAAGATGACTGTTCTGAGCCATCGCTGGAGATCTGGACACCACGCTTCTAGTGACGAACGGAACCACAGACAGAGGCTAACAGAGAAATGGAGGATGTGAACAACATAAACCAGTTATACCTGGGACCTAGCCTGTAGCTACAGAGCACGCCACCTAACAGCACAGAACACACATGCTTCTCAAGGGCACACGAGACATTCTTCATGAGAAACGGCAGCTTATGCTCCAAAAAAACAGTTTAATAAATTTTAGCCCGGCCGGCGCGGCTCAGGGGCTGGGCATCCGCCTATGATCCAGGAGGTCAGGGTTCAAGTCCCAGTCAGGGCACAGGCCCAGGTTTCGGGCTCGATTTCCAGTGTGGGGTGTGCAGGAGGCAGCCGATCCATGACTCTCTCTCATCAGTGATGTTTCTCTCTCCCTCTCCCTTCCTCTCTGACATCAATAAAAATACTTTAAAAAAAAAAAAGAAGGACAGGGAATGCTGACACCCGCTACAACAGACACTGTGCTGAGGGAAGAAGTTCAAACACGGTGTGACCCCCTCCCAGGAGGTCCCAGGGGCGGCAGCTCCATAGCCCAGGGGTCCTCAAACGTTTTAAACAGGGTCCCTCAGACCGTTGGAGGGCCGGACTATAGTTTTAAAAAAAACTATGAACAAATTCCTATGCACACTGCACATATTTTATTTTGAAGTAAAAAAACAAAACAGGAACAAATACAATATTTGTATTGGCACGTGGCCCGTGGGCCAGAGTTTGAGGACCCCTGGGATAGACGGTGGTGAACACGGCGGTGGGGGTACGGCGGGGAGCTTGTGTGTCATGGATTCTCAGTTTGGAGGATAACAGGGTCCTACAGGTGGACGGGGGCGGAAGCCGTAAACACCACGAACGTATTGACGCCGCTAACGTACACTTCAACGTGGGTGAAATGGCGAATTTTGTCACGTTCATTTTACTACAAAAAAATCATTTCCTGTGGTTTCCCTGCTCTACTAGTAAGAGCTTCAATACCCCCCAAACTCAGAGTAAGCCCAAGCCCCCCACACCTGACCGAACCCCGCCCCATCTCGGCTCGGCCTCCTCCCCATGTGCCAGTCCCAGCCCCACCAGGGCCTTCAGACCCTCAATGGGCCTGGTCGTCCCTGCCCAGCGCCCTGCGCCTGCTGTCCCCTCCCTGGGGGAGCTGTCCCCTAACCTGCAGGCGCTGCTAGGAAGAAGGAAGAAGGGAGGGAGAGACGGAGGGGGAGGCAAGGGCCGCCGGCCAGGGGAGGGATCTTTGTGGAAACCAGGAAGACTTGGAAGATGCTGGGGCTGGGTCACCCCCCACCGCCCCGCTGGGAACCCCCGGCCCTGGCTCACAGCCCACAGATCACACCACCCGGCCCCTCGGCTCACTGGGAATGTGGGCCCCTTGGGAGACAGACCAGGGCTGCCGGACCCCCATGGCCACCCTGTGTCCACCCAGCACTCTGGGGAGCAGGAGGCAGCACCCCCAGAGTAGCGCAGGGGGGCTTCGGGCAGACCTGCAGCCAGGCCTGTGGCTCCCAGGGCTGTGCCCATCCTCCCAGCACCTGCCTGGTGCCCAAGGGCGGCCGGGCACCCAGCCAGTGCCCAGCAAATGCCCAAGCCCCCCGCATCCAAGGACCGCGTCTGGAGTCTGCTCCCTGGTGGGGGGCAGCGGGCAGTTGGGGGTCTGAGACCTGGGCTGGGGGGTCTTTATTCACGGCCCGGGGTCACGTCACCTCCAGGCTCTGCTGGCCGTGAGGCCACGTCCCGCCGCCCCCGGACT